GGGGGGGGGGGGGCGGTGGTAGTGTTGGGTATTCTAAAAGGCATTAGGGTGGACAAGTCCCCAGGTCCGAATGGGATCTATCCCAGGTTACTGAGGGAAGCGAGAGAGGAAATAGCTGGGACCTTAACAGATACCATTGCAACATCCTTGAGCACAGGTGAGGTCCCGGAGGACTGGAGAATTGTTAATGTTGTCCCCTTGTTTAAGAAGGGTAGCAAGGATAATCCAGGTAATTATAGACCAGTGAGCTTGACATCAGTGGTGGGGAAGCTGCTGGAGAAGATACTGAGGGATGGGATCTATTTACATTTGAAAGAAAATGGGCTTATTAGTGATAAGCAGCATGGTTTTGTGCAGGGAAGGTCATGTCTTACCAGCTTGACAGAATTCTTTGAGGAAGTGACAAAGTTGATAGATGAGGGAAGGGCTGTGGATGTCATATACATGGACTTCAGTAAGGCGTTTGTTAAGGTTCCCCATGGTAGGCTGATGGAGAAAGTGAAGTTGCATGGGGTCCAGGGTGTACTAGCTAGATGGATAGAGAACTGGCTGGGCAACAGGAAACAGAGAGTTGTAGTGGAAGGGAGTTTCTCAAAATGGAGAACTATGACCAGTGGTGTTCCACAGGGATCCGTGTTGGGACCACTGTTGTTTGTGATATACATAAATGAGCTGGAGGAAGGTATGGATGGTCTGATTAGCAAGTTTGCAGATGACACTAAGATTGGTGGAGTAGCAGATAGTGAAGGGGACTGTCGGGGAATACAGCAGAATATAGATAGATTGGACAGTTGGGCGGAGAAATGGCAGATGGAGTTCAATCCAGGCAAATGCGAGGTGATGCATTTTGGAAGATCCAATTCAGGAGCGAACTGTGCGGTAAATGGAAAAGCCCTGGGGAAAATTGATGCACAGAGAGATCTGGGTGTTCAGGTCCATTGTACCCTGAAGGTGGCAACGCAGGTCAATAGAGTGGTCAAGAAGGCATACAGCATGCTTTTATTCATCGGACGGGTTATTGAGTACAAGAGTTGGCAGGTCATGTTACAGTTGTATAGGACTTTGATTCGGCCACATATGGAATACTGCACACAAAATTCTGGTTGCCACATTACCAAAAGGATGTGGATGCTTTGGAGAGGGTGCAGAGGAGGTTCACCAGGATGTTGCCTGATATGGAGGGCGCTAGCTATGAAGAGAGGTTGAGTAGATTAGGATTATTTACATTAGAAAGACGGAGGTTGAGGGGGGAACCTGATTGAGGTCTACAAATTCATGACAGGTATAGACGGTGTGGATAGCAAGAAGCTTTTTCCCCAGAGTGGGGGACTCAATTACTAGGGGTCACGATTTCAAGGTGACAGGGGATAAATTTAAGAAAGATATGCGTGGAAAGTTCTTTACGCAGAGGGTGGTGGGTGCCTGGAATGCGTTGCCAGCAGAGATGGTAGAGGCGGGCACGATAGCACCATTTAAGATGTATCTAGACAGATACATGAATGGGCAGGTTTTTCCCTGCACAAAACCATGCTGCCTATCACTAATAAGCCCATTTTCTTTCAAATGTAAATAGGTCCTCTCCCTCAGAGGGATACAGATCCTTGGAAAATAGACGACAGGTTTAGATAAAGGATCTGGATCGGCGCAGGCTTGGAGGGCTGAAGGGCCTGTTCCTGTGCTGTAATTTTCTTTGTTCTTTGTTCTAATGCTGTTCCGCCAGGATCCGTACTGGGACCTCTGCTGTTTGAGATATACATAAATGACTTGGATGAAAATGTAGATTTGTAGTTAGTAAGTTTGCAGACGACACAAAGATCAGTGGAGTAGTGGATAGTGTAGAAGATTGTCAAAGGATACAGCAGAATATAGATCAGTTGCAGATATGGGCAGAGAAATGGCAGACTTAGTTTAATCTGGGTAAGTGTGAGGTGTTGCACCTTGTGAGATTAAATATTAAGGAAAAGTATACAGTTAATGGCTGGACCCTGAACAGCACTGATGGACAGAGGGATACTGGGGTTCAAGTCCATAGCTCCCTGAAAGTGGCCACGCAAGTAAAGAAGGCATATGGCATGCTTGCCTTTTTTGGTCAGGGAATTGAGTACAAGAGTCAGGATGTCACGTTGCAGCTCTATAAGACTTTGGTTTGGCCACACTTCGAGTATTGCATTCAATTCCGTTCGTCACATTCCAAAGCCTCCACATCCTTCCTGTAGAGGATGCAGAAGAGGTTTACCAGGATGCTGCCTGGATTAGAGAGAGTATGAACTACAAGGAGAGGCTAGAAAAATCGATTTGTTTTCTCTGGAGCAGTGGGCACTGAGGGGGGACTTGATAGAAGTCTATAAAATTATGAAATGCATAGACAGTGTTGACAGTCAGAATAATTTTCTCCAGAGTTGAAGTGTCTAACACTACAGGGCAAACATTTAAGGTGAGAGGGGGAAAGTTCGAAGGAGATGCGAGGGTCAAGTTTCTTTTAAGAAATAGAGAATGGTGGGAGTCTGGAACACGCTGTCAGGGGTAGTGGTGGAGGCAGATATGATAGAGGTGTTTAAGGGACTTTCAGATAAGCACATGAATATGCAAGGAATGAAGGGATATGGACCAAGGGCAGGGAGAAGGGATTAGTTTGATTTGGCGTCATGTTCGGCACAACATCATGGGCCGAAGGGCCTGTTCCTGTGCAGTACTGTTCTATGTTCTAGAACCAGGAAGCACATTAAAAATAAGGGAGGTACCATTTAGATCCAAAATGAGAATTCTTTTTTTACTTAGTGGGTGGTGAATCTTTGAAATACTCTACCCAGATAGCTGTGGAATCTTAGTCTGAGAATATTTAAAGTAGAGGTTGATAAATCTTTATTTATCAACAGCGTAAAAGGGTTGTGGGGATAGTACGAATAAAAGACATTGAAGTGCTTGATCAGTCATGATGGTCTACTCCTGTTCCTAATGTAAGCCTTCAGTTTGCTGGGGAGGCATTATGGGTTCAGAATCACTCATCATACTCTGGCATGTGCGTGCAATGGAACTCAATATAGTCAATCATTATTTGGCAAGGTTTGTATTATAAGCAAATTCTGCCAAGTGTTAGAAAATCTTGCGTAATATCATTTCAATCTCACTTGTTTAAAACATGAGGCGCCCAGGGAAGTCTGTAAGTCTGCAAAATGCTCAAAGCTCCATTGGAAGGTTGGATTACAGCACCTCAGGAACTTTGACAATTTCAAATTTAGAAGCAAAAGTAAAAATTAAAAATAAACACCGTATAAATGGTAGAAGTTTGCAGATCAAGAAATGGAGCTGGAATTGGGTTTCCTAGCATATGAATAACAAAATGTTAATGTGCAGCTACAGCAGGTAATTAGGAAAGCCCACAGTAATATTATTGTTTATTGTGAGGTGAATTGAATACAAAAGTTAGGTAATGTTCAAGTTTATGCTTGAGTCACATGAGGTGCCTTAATGTGAGACCACATCTGGAGTATTTGTCCACAATATTGTTCTCCTGATTTAAAGGCATAAATACATTGAAAGCAGTTTAGAGATGGATGACTGCACTAATACCCAAAATGGATAGGTTGTCTTATGAATAAAGATTGGATAGCCCAGGTTTGTAGGTTTTGAAGTTTAGAAGAGTATGAGGCAACTTGAATGAAGTACAGAAGATCCTGAGGAATCTTGACAGGGTGGATATGGAAAAGCTATATCTCCTCTTGTGGGAACATCAAGGACTAGGGGTCACATATCCATTTAAGATGGAGATAAGGAGAGTTATTTTCTCACCAAATGTTAGGTCTTTGGAACAATCCTTCTACCACCTTTCCAGGAAGAGAGTCCTTGAATAATTTTAATTTCAAGAGTTAGATAAATTCTTGACAAACAAGGGTTTGAAAGATTGAGGATAGGCAGAAACAGAGTAATGAAATCAGCCATGATCTTATTGAAAGGCACAGCAGGCTGAAGAAGCCAAACAGCTGACACCTGCTCCTAATTCATAAGTTCATATGAACTGGAAACTCCCATCAGTATGTGAAGACTTAGAAAATCAGGGTGCAAATTTGTATTACTTACAACTTTACTAATCCTCTTAATGTCAAAATAACCTAAGTTCTTAATATGTCTATTGTTATTAATTCTTGCAAAGTTTCGGGGTCAAGGTATAGAAGCTGAAAGCAGAATTGAAGGCCAGTATCTTCTAAGACCTCAACATATACTTTATTCTATACCTTGTTTGTTGGCACAGACAGATGTACGCCATGTTCCAAAGAGGTCTGTCAGTCACCTTCTGAAATTATAGCAGGAGACCAGCAAGACCCATAGGGAATTTTGGTGTTACAATAAACGTCCTATAATGTAACAAGGGATAAGGAAAAGAAAATTGACAGCTAGAAAGTAGTTACTCGATAGGTTAATTCTTCAGCAAAAAACACTAAAATGACAAAATAATTTTAAAACATTAACATTTCTATGCTGATACCATCAATGATAATTGAGATTGAAGTATATTAAAATTTATGACACACAACTAATACACTTATGTTATACACATAATTTTGATTTTTTTTTGGAATAGTGTCAAGGGTACAACATCACTACTTACTTTTGCCAGATATTCCTTGATTGCAAGTAAGTACGTTCTATTCCTGTCCAAGTACTGCCCCTGTACCTTCACAGAGTCTGCAACAATCCTGTGCCCCGGTTCTGCACTTGGATCAAATCCAAACTCTAATCCTGCCACTTGAGGGAACCTTTAAAATACGAAACCTAAATGAAGTTTCAAATATTGAGTGGATTTTATTAAGATGTTTAGCTACTCTTATAACATTTAATTGTTTAGAAAATTAATAATTTAATATTGAAGTTGACCTATGTTCTATTCAATATTTAATTTAGATCAAGCCATTCTTGATTGTCTGAACAAAGTATTCTATATATATTCAAGTCGCATTAATTTTATTTTAAAGGAATTTACTCAAATGAAAATGTGTATCCAATGGAGGCTGATGCAGATCTGTTACGAAAGGGATAAATATTTTAAAACCAAATATCAGAATGGAGTCAGATTACAATTGGTATACCATTTATAAATTTATTTTACTTTCCATGTATTTGACAGTAGAACAGGAGATGTGCTAAATTGTGATAACAGTTATGTTAAATGAAGTGTGGCAGGAAATAAGTAGATCTTTACATGTCCGTACGGTGTACAGTTTAATTATAGGAGCCAAATCTCATTCTCTTCCCTTGCCCTGAGCAGAAGTTAGGCATTTGGTGCATGCTGAACCTATCCACCTCAGGTGTGCCATTATTTCTCATCGAGACTTCAACTCAAACTGGGACACCCAGCACAAACCAATGAAACCAGTGTATATTTTAGCACAGCTGCAGGCCTACGGCTGTTTATCAGAACCCACAGGGCCTTACAAAATAGTTTTTAGTCTGCACCCTGGAGAAATGCAGACAATTTGGTTGACAGTGGTTAAGTGGCAAGAATCATAGAAACCCTACAGCACGGAAAGCCGCCATTGGGCCTATGGACTCGGCAGCAACCCTCTGAACAGCATCTGACCCCGACCCAATCCCCACCCTATCCTCATAACCCCACGAAAACCAGTGTTTAATTTCACCACGTACCTGTGCAGAGGAAAACTATTTTCAGTCTCGTCTAAGGTACCATCGGTTCTGCTATAACGCAATAGTTGCGTTCCTGTGCAACATCGCACTATAGAAATAACAGAGCCTATGGGCAAAGTGGGGTTGGAGTAGACCACCAAAAAATATCACTCAAAAGTGATATCACACAAAGGATAGCACAGTTTGAATAAATATTTAATTCATATCTAATAATGAAATAAAAGTAAATTTAACACCTTACCTTGAAAAAAGTGTCAAGATGACTTGATGGAGGAGGAGCTTTTGAGATTGCTGTGTTAGGTAATGCAGGGGCTGAGGGTCATCATCACCACCTTCATCATGTGCAGTTGTGGTTGCAGGGTTTGGGCGAAAAATAGTTAATCCAAAAATGGATGGATGTGGTTCATTGTTTTCTGACTGTTTCTTGGAGGTTGGCTTAAAAAAAGATAGAGTTTATCTGCTCTTCCCTTTTTCATTGAAAAAGCTATTCATAGGGTGCCAATTAAGTCCTTATTCCATGAACTGCTACCCTGTTATATTCTGCATTGCAATCGTTGTCCTCCAAGAGCTGCAACTGCTTCTCAATTTCCCTCAGGATAGAAGACAAAACAGAAGTGGAAAGCTGTCATGATGCTGCCTCCTGGACTACTACTACTTCATCTTCCACTTCCCCCTCAGCGACAAGTTGTTGTAGGGAGGTCTTCACAGTGGGACTCAAGCAGCTCTTCAAAGTCCTCACTCTCCACTTCTTCAAATCCAACTTGCTTTGCAAGATCAACACAATGTTCTTTGATTCTTGGGAGCTCCTCTGACAGATCAAAGACTTTAAAATCTTAAATAAAAATCTGGGAGAAGCTTCCACCAAACTGCATGCAAGCGGTACTTACTGATATCACCCCAGACCTCCACGATCGTGTCAATTGCATTCTTGATGTTAAAGCTCTTCCAAAATTGAAGAATACTGTCCTTATCCCCTCAGTGGCTGCAATCAGCCTCTTAAATGTGCTCCTTAAATAATGAGCTTTAAAAGCTGCTTTTGCACCCTGGTCCATGGATTGAAGGAGAGGGGCTGTGTTTGGGGTTTAGAAATAGCACTTTGATGTTTTTAGAAAGCTCACCAATGGTGGCGGTATAGCTTGGCACATTATCTAGGATGAAGAGCACCTGGGAATCCTGTTACAGCTAACACAATTTTGTGTTTGAGAAATAGCATTCCCCTATTTGTCAGTCACGTTATAGCCAATTTGTGTTGCCAGAACATGCGTTATAGCAGAACCGACTATATATGCAGTGCATCCCCAGCAATAGCCTCTCGTCTCATCTCCCCACTGTCGCTTTGACAGTCCATCACTGATTAATTCTTCGTTACTTCTTTGTCCTCATTTACATGCTGCCTTTGTAACAGCTACTGCAGAGATAGGGTCAGCTTCTTTTTGTATGCTTATATGACAGCGCTATCTTTCCCTTTATTTACTCTAACCAATTATCAGAATAACATCCACTGATGGATGAAATGTATATTTCACCAGACAAATATCAAGACCACCAACTGTCAAGTCACTCTCACCTTCTTTCCAGTCATTGAGAACAATTGGAATAACTGAGAATTAACTGGATGGTTCATAACTTTGTTAGATTGGGGTTGTATTAGATTTCAATCAGATTGATGACCTCAATATCCATAGCTTTGTTATATCCAGAGCAATTCAATTGTTCTTTTGGCTTCTCATTCTCCATTATTAGAACATAAAAGCAGGAGTTCACCCCATCAAACCTGCTCCATATCACTTTCCCACACTATCTCTGTATCCCTTAATGTCATTATTCTTCAGAAATCAATAGATTTCTGACTTCAATTTGTTCAATGATTGACCTTCTACACTCTTACGGTATCAAGAATTCCAAAAATTCACCACCCTATGAGTGAAGGAATACCTCCCCAGTCTTAAGTGGCCTTCCCTTAACCTGAGGCAATGTCCCTGGGTTGAGTCACCAGCCAGGGGAAATATCCTAACTATATCCATCTGTCATGGTCTGTATTGGTTTTGTAACTTTCAATGAGATCAGCTCTCACTCTTTAACTCTAGACCCAGTTGCCTCAATTTTTCCTCAAACATTGCCACCATCTCAGGGATTATTCTGGTGAACCTCAGTGCAGACTCTCTATGGATCAGATAAGGAGATGAAAGCTATACAGAATACTACAAGTGAGGTGTCACCAAGACTCCATACAACTCCAGCAAGACATCTTCTTTCAGTACACAAATGCTTTTGAAATGAATTTTATTTTTATTCCCTTGTGGAACGCGAGCATCACCAGCTGGGCTAACATACCTTTTTCTTTTGTAATTGCATGCTGCTCCTAGATGCTACCTTTTAATGATTTATAGACAAGGACAACCAGATCCATTTCCAATCTCTCCCCATTTAAAGAAATACTCTGCCTTTCTATGTTTTCTGCCGAAGTTAATAAATTCACGTATTATATTATATCTGCAATATTCTAGCTCATTTGCTTAACCTGTCCAAGTTCTCTTGAAGCCTCCTTGCCTCCTCCTCACAACTTGCATTTCACAACTTGGTGTCATCAGCAAATGTAGAAATATTACAGTTGGTTCCCACATATAGTAGATAGACTGTGAATTGTTATTAGCCTCGCACCATCCTTTGCAGTACCCCCAATAGTAACATGCAGCCATCCTGAGAATGATCTATTTATTCCTCTGCTTTCTGTCTACTGACAATTCTCAACCTATACTAGTATATTCCTCTCAAACCCATGCACTCAATTTTATTTACCAAGTACTTGTGTGGGAATTTATGAAAAGCCTTCTGAAAATCCAAATTCACAATATCCACTGGTTCTTCTTTGATAATGCTACAAGTGATATCCTCAAAAAAATGCATCAAATTTTTACATCATGATTTCCCTTTCAGAAATCCATGTTGAATTTATTCAATTTTGCTAAACTTTCCTAAATATTTAGTTATCACATCCTTTACAATAGATTCCCCCATCACAGATGTCAAGCTAACTGGATGAGAAATGTTACCTCCCCAATTTTGTGTTATTCATTCCTGCCAGGCCTCCAATTTCTGTACCCCATTTCAACGCAGCCACCTTCCAGCCCCCTGGGTTCCCAACCTACCCACATTGAAAGCCCAATGCTCACTTCAGTACGGACACCATCAAGATTCTTCCAATCGGGATTGTAGTACTCACTACTGACTTCTGGAACTCTGATACTACAAGAGCCGCCAGCCAATCAGATTAGCCAACAGCAGTTCTCAAGGAAGGTTCTTCTTGTCCACTGAGGGACATAGAGGTCCAATCTTCACATCAATGGCTCCACCAGTGAGTATATTATCACTGTGGGAGCAGGATCTTTTTAAAGTTGACTGGTTTAGAACTGATCCTTTGCAGGTTCAGCCATATGCCACCTCCTGATAAAATCTAGCCCCAGCAATGTTGAGTTGCCACACTACATCTCCACTAATTTCCCCAGGTGTTGTGCAGGGATCCATGCACAAGTGAAAAAAAAAAATCAAAAAGGAAACAAGGTGGCATGTTGATCAGCAAGCATGGACCCTTGGAGCATAGTTCAGGCAGAACATTGCATACCTTCTCTTCTTCAATCCATTTGTCAGTAATAGCTAAGTAGGGCCTCCTAACTTGTGGTTTGAGAGCCTAAATGGGATCACCAGTCAAAATGTTGGGGTCACAGGCTTTGATGCAGCAATGGCTGCTGCGGAGCTCCGACCATGGGCTATCAGCCTTCAAATCTCCTATATTTTGTGAAAATGGAAACAAGAAATTGGATGTCGCCTTCTTGCCTGATCTTATAGGCTTTTAGCTTAAAAACCCTGCAAATTAAACAGCCTTCCTTTTGCTCTCCGCTCTCACTGACATTCCAAACTCTGCCTCTCCTACAGGTCTGGGGTCTCCACAACTTTCAAGCACCAAAATGATCCAAATGGAAAAACATTTTAGTAAGCACTGAGCTATGATATAATACTTCCACATGTTTCTGTGCGCCCTCCTCATCTGCCTTATTCAAAAGACTTCTTGAAGTATATTCTATTAAGCGCACAAATTCATCTTATGTCTATTTTCTAGTTTATATTTCTTCTCTCTTCAAAATGTGTTTACTTAATTTCTGTCCTCATTTTCAACTTTGCTTCTTTCCCTTCTAAACCTTATTCAGATTCCCATCCAGTGCCAAGCTACTTTTAACTTTATCCAACACCAGAAAATCTCCATATGATGATATTGGCTGCAGCCCTATTTAGGTGCAACTGATCCAATTTAGAGAATACAAACCATATTTTGCTACAGCCACAACTTTTTCTATCAGACGTTTTCCCTATCATAATATCTAAATGTGCTAAGAACTTACTGTGAAAAATACATTAATGATCTCCTGGTTTAGCAAACTTTCTGAAATGTGTGTACTAGGTTCAATATTATCATTAACATTCCTAACATGGAGTCATAAACATCCTATGAAATTTTTGCTGTTGCATAAACAAATACTCTGCTTCATTTAGTAAAATTTTTGCATTAAATCAACCATGCAATTTCAAGATTGGGTACTTTGGGACCAGTGACCCTCAGTTTTAAAATAGTAATTATCCATAAGTTAGCGTTCTAAATTGGGGCAAGGCCAATTTTGATGGTATTAGACAGGAACTTTCAAAAGTTGAAAGCTATTCGCAGGTAAAAGGATGCCTGGCAATTAGGTTTAAGGTGAGAGGGAAAGATTTAACAGGGACCTGAGGGGCAAATTTTTCACACAAAGGGTGGTGTGTATATGGAAGGAGCTGCCAGAAGACATAGTAAAGGTGGGTACAATTACAACATTTAAAAGACATTTGAACAGGTACACAGAAAGTGAGATGAGAGTTCAGGCCCAGCATATTCCTGTTGTTTGTCATTTACATAAACAATTTGGATGAGAATCCAGGAGGTATGATTAGTTCACAGATGACACCAAAATTGGTGGTATAGTTGACAGTGAGGAAGGTTACCTAAGAGTACGACGGGATCTTGATCAACTGGGCCAATGGGCCAAGGAATGGCAGATGGAGTTTAATACAGATAAAGGCAAGATGTTGCATTTTGGTAAGATAAACAAGCGTTGGAGTTACACAGTTAATGGTCAGACCCTGGGTAAGTGTTGTTGAACAGAGAGACCTGGAGAGCAGATACATAATTCCTTGAAAGTGATGTCACAGGTAGACAGGATGGTGAAGAAGTATTTTCCACGCTCACCTTGATCAGTCAGAGCAATGACTACAGGAATTGGGACGTCATGTCACAGTAGTACAAGACATCAGCACGGCCACATTTGGAGTACTGCGTACAATTCTGGTCACCCTGCTATAGAAAGCATGTTATTAAACTGGAATGGGTGCAAAAGAGATTTACTAGGATATTACTGAGACTGGAAGGTTGAGTTATGAAGAAAGGCTGGATAGACTGGGACTTTTTTTCCCTGGAGCATAAGAGGTTGAGGGGTGACCTTATAGAGGTTTCTAAAATAATGAGGAGCAGAATCAGCCAAGGTCTTTACCCCAAAGTAGGGGAGTCCAAAACTAGAGGCCTTAGGTTTAAAGTGAGAGGGAAAGTCTTAAAAGGGAACTGAGGGGCAAATTTTTCACACAAAGGGTGGTGTGTATATGGAAGGAGCTGTCAGAGAACACAGTAGAGGTGGGTACAATTACAACATTTAAAAGATATTTGAACAGGTACATGGATAGAAAAGGTTTAAAGGGATATGGGCCAAAAGCAAGCAAATGGGACTAGTTCAGTTTTGGAAACCTGGTCGGCATGGACAAGTTGGGCCGAAGGGTTTGTTTCCGTGCTGTACAAATCTATGACTGTAAGATAATAAAAACTTCAGAAATACTTACCTTCCATCGAGTTCTGGATACATACTGACTCCATTTTCTAAAGCATCCAACAGTTGTTCTGCCGTCACCTGAACAACCAACAGTGGGTCCACAATAGGCAGAACCAACAAAAGATCATGCATGGTGAAGTCACCTGGTGGATGTAAGCGATCTGAACGCAATGTACCTAGAAATTTGAAAACAATGATTGAATCTACAAAATCTTTCCAGACCAAGTCCAAGGTGTTTCTGTAGTTCTACCAGACTAAAAATTGATATACATGTGTTTTTGCATTGAAACTTTATGCTATTTCCTTATTTGTCTAAACGTTACATGCAGATGACCATGACCTGTGCTGTTGACCAGCTACACATTCTGCATGCAGAATTCAACAGCAATGTGAGACTAGCCTCTGGCTTTCCTCTGAATGAAAGGAAACACAGTCATTGACGGTCAGTATCTGACTGCAATTGACAACAAAGGAAATACAGTATGAGGGCAGAGAGGGTCAGGTTTCCACAGGATCTCCAGAAGAACCTCAAGGTATGCCCTCTGAATGATGTGTGAGAGTAGGTCATCTGGAGCAAGGAGTTTGGTGCCAAGAATCTAGCAGCAGTGTTAAGGAAAATTCAATGGCCTCAAGGGTAAATGAATCCTCATATAACATCTACTTATTGCATCACCAACCTCTCATGCTGCTAAATGAACCATATTGACTATCATTTACTCATTAACAATCCGTAACATGAAGATCATAAGTCTCACATTTCAGATATGCCACCTCATCTTTATACCCACTTCTTGCTGCTTCCAAATACCTCCAACTATTCAGCCATGATAGACAAATCACTTTGAGCTACAGAATCACTCAGATTCTAACTTCTTTTTGCAGATCAAAATGAAATAAATTTGAAGGGAGCAAAGCAGACACATCAGGGGTTAGGAATGCCTCCCAGCCTTACAAAGGAGATTTATCTGCACTTTATGTACCTGTAGCATCAGAGGACCCATCATCCAGCATCACCAAGAACATTGCGGGTGGTCATATGTTACGGTCTTCATCCTTTCTGAACTCCCACCTCGCACTCATCCTGATATCTGGCATGGTGCAAGCTGCAGATGAAATAACATGGGCCTGTTGCTGTCCAACCTATGTCACTCCAAACCAATACTTATAATTTTTCTGTTTTCAGATATCCAAGGGTCCCACCCAACCAACCACTGCTGCCTCAAAGATGACAGAAATAGCAGACCTCTGATAAGGAAGCAGCATCATTATTGACTGAAAAAGTCACATCAGTTCAGGCGCTGTCACTCTAGAATTAATGCCACATCAATATTAGTACGTAATGAGTCACCTGGAAGAAGAGGACTGCAGTCAGACTTCAGGGAGAAAGAATAGCTTAGGTGCCAGTTGACAGGAGGGTGCAAATGCAAAGGAGTGCTGAAACAGGGATCTCAGGTGAGGCCTTCAAATGGGACAGCCTACAGGAGAATGCTGACAAGTTGTGAAGTTGTGACATTTAGTGAATTGACAAGCCTGATGCTGTCAAGGAGCATGAATGAGTCTGATTCCAGTGTGGTACATTGGCTTGTGCAGAGCTTGGATCCCATCCAATTAACTACATGACAGCACTTGTGACCCACCTGAAATGCAGCATTTGCTGGCTGCTGATTCAGCTTCCTGCACAGGTGGAAGCTACACAATATCTTAGTGGATGCTCAATCTGATGTTATGAGGTTCATACGTGCTTCTCAAGGCCCGAGTCAGACTGCTACCATCATGGCTACAGATTACTCTAAAGATAAATGCAGGTTCTTGAGGGAGTCCAACAATCTTTGCTCCAACAGATTACTAGAACTTGGAAATTTCTGCTCAAAAAAACCAAAAAAGTGGCACTATTGAGCACAAATCTGCCATCCTCTCTTTGGGAGCATTGATGCTACTACCACTGCCACTCCACCAGTGGCAAAGGTGCTGCTCTCAGCCAGCAATCCCAAACAGGTGCCACCATCCAGAGATAATATGCTCCAAAGCAATTTTTTGGTCCTTTTAGGACCTGACACTTGAGGATATTTTCCAGGGCTGTCTGCAGACTTTCCCTTAAGTCAACAGATTTGCACCAGTCACATTGCAGTCAATAATAATGTATAGAAGACTAAGGCAGGCAACACACGTCAAGATATGCACTAAGGGAATACATAAGAATGAAAAAAAAATCAACTGTTTAAAGTTAATTGTTTGATAAAAATATTTGACAATTTGTTTTGCTTTGCGCACGCGATGGGCCAAAAGGCCTATTTCCTATGCTGTAGACCTCAAAGGCAATGACTCAAGGTTACTCATGGTGGCTTTCATCGCAAGATCCTGGACAAGAGAATACAGTGATGGTGAGTATCATACGAATGGTAAATTAGGGAATGGGGAAGCCATAGTGGTATTGGAATGTTTTCTTAAGTGAGCCTGATAGAGTTTTTACAACAATTGACAGCAGTTACACAGCTCCCAATGGGCAATAATGTTTTACTGAATTCAAATTTAACCAGTCATGATGGGATTCGAACCCATGTTCCCAGAACATTAGCCTGGGTTCTGGATTATTAGTCCAGAGATATTACCACTACTCCACACTCCCCTTGATTGAAAAGACTCTCACTCAATAGGTTTCTAGGCCTAAGCCTTTCAAAATTGACAAGATGTGGAAAAATGTCAGCTATCAATACAGGCCTCGTGAAGGATAAGATTTTCTTGCTAGTTCTTTCCCCTTTGTCCTCACTGAAGGACGTGGCATGTGGGGCAGTATGGTTTCAAAGTTACTTGTAAACCTCCAGTACCACAGTAAAGTTTTTTTTTTCCATTCTTGAGGACAAACAATAAGTTCCAGAAGGTCAATGATCATGCAGTCAAAATAGTTTGAAACTAATTCTGCTTTTAAAAACAACTGAAATATAGTTTCAAACACACAACAAAAAATAGCTATTAGGAGTAGGACTGCTAGCCTAAAATATTCCACAACATTTTAACTGCCTAGGAGAGGTGGTTTTAGTTGCAATCCAAGTTAAAGCCCCCCAAAAAACGCTATTGGGCTGCAAACCTAGCATAATCCTGCCCACTTCTGGTCTAACCCAGGTAGATTTGGAGGTAAAAAAACAAAATAAAAAAACTGTGGATGCTGTAAATCAGGAACAAAAACAGAAGTTGCTGGAAAAGCTCAGTAGGTCTGGCAGCATCTGTGAAGGAAGAAAATCAGAGTTAATGTTTCAGGGTCGGTGACCCTTCCTCAGTTCTGCTGAGTTTTTTCAGCGAATTCTAGATTTGGAGGTAAGCTGGGAACCCCTATGATACTGTCAGGAATAAAATATACTCAGAGAGGTAGCTCACAAAGTGTGAATTTAACATAGCATTCTGACTTTAACATTGTTCCCAAGATGTGTGGAACTCATCAGGGTCAAGAAGGTAGGGGAAGGAGATTGAGCAATTAAACCAACATGCTGAGAAGCCTTTAAGATTGAAATTGGAAAACTTCTGACAAGCCTCAGTAAAGGCTTATGCTTCCAGGATCTTCTCATGAGAGCTTAAATTAACTGCTTTGAGTCATTTCCATCTTTTCTTTTGAAGTACTTTCAACTACCTTAATCTAAATTCCTTGTGGTCAGCCTTGATTGCATCATGAGAGCAATTTATTCAGCAGTAGCATCAACCTCTGACAAGGAGCTAAAGTGGCTGGCAGTTCAGCAGTACCAAGAGCAGTAATATCAACAGCAACTGGCTTCCTCAAAGCCAAATGCACTTCACAGGGGAATGGACAAACAGCTGCAGCTCGAAGGAGTAGAAATAGGCAACTCTGAATATACACAACACCCTCAATATCATAGTTTGTCCGACTATTTCACGTTCCAACCAAGCCTCAATCACCGTTTACCCCCTTGTTTATCAAAGATCAATCAACTTCTGTCTTAAAAATATTCAAAAACTCAACTTCCACCAAAATTTTAGGAAGATTCTTCCAAAGAATCTATATTTTCAAAAATGTTTTGAAGGCTTGAAAATTGCAGCTATGATGAATGACAAGATAGGTTAAGGTTGTTTCCCTTAAAAGGAAGCCGAGGGGTGATTTAGTTGAGGTGTATAAAATATGGAGATATTTTTCAAGGGTGGGTGTTGCTGGATAAGGGGACATGAACTGCCCATCCCCAACTGCCCAGAGGGCAGTTAGTTAAAAGTCAACCACAAGAATCAGTCACATATAGGCCATGAAGGATGATAAAGATTTTCTTCCTTAAAAGAGTATTAACGAAACTTATGATAAATGACACCAGTTATATGGTCACCATTATGCTAGTGTTTTTTTATTACTGAATTGAAATTTCACCACCCGCCATTGTGTGATTTAAACCAATGCTCCAAGAACATTAACATGGGGTTCTAGATTACCAGTCCAGCAACATTACTACTCTGCCACCGTCTCCCTTAAGATAGAGTGGTCTGGGAAGACCTGTTCCTCTAGGTCAGTTATCAGGAAGCACAAATTTAAGCTGATTGGTAGAAAGATTAGAACATAGAACATAGAACAGTACAGCACAGTACAGGCCCTTCAGCCCACGAAGTTGTGACAAACTTTTACCCTAAACCTAAGGTCTATCTAACCTCGACCCCGACTTTATACTATCATCCATATGCCTATCAATAGCCGTTTAAATGCCCTTAATGAGGCCGACTCCACTACCCTCTCCAGCAATGCATTCCACGCCCCTACCACTCTCTGAGTAAAGAGCCTACCTCTGACGTCTCCCCTATATCTACCTCCACTCACTTGAAAACTATGCCCCCTCGTAATAGCTACCTCCACCCTAGGAAAAAGTCTCTGGCTGTCTACTCTTATCTATTCCTCTGATCATTTTGTACACCTCTATCAAGTCACCTCTCATCCTTCGTCGTTCTAAAGAGAAAAGCTCCAGTTCTCTCAACCTTTTCTCGTAAGACCTTCCCTCCATTCCAGGCAACATCCTGGTAATTCTCCTCTGCACCTTTTCCAACGCTTCCACATCTTTGCAGTAATGAGGCGACCAGAACTGGACACAATACTCTAGATGTGGCCGAACCAGGCTTTTGTATAGCTGGAGCATAACTTCATGGCTCTTGAACTCAATCCCTCTATTAACGAAAGCTAACACACCATACGCCT